AAGAAGAAAGAAGACGTTGACGGTTGATCAGGTCAGGGCCGGCTGAGTGCTGTAGGAGTCGAACGATAGAGAGTAAGACAGAGCCGAAGCAGGAGCTGAAGCAGGAGGCAAAGGAGGAGGAGGAGGAGGAGGAGGAACAAGAAGAAAGAAGACGAAGTAGGAGGTAGAACCCATGTCGAAGGTGAACGGAACGACAATCGCGGGACGTCAAGCTGTGCCCTCCTTGATCGGGAAGAGCAGCACGCCGTCCCCGCCTCAGAGTTTTCATCCGTCTGCTTCTTCGCCAAGCAGTCAATCGAAGCACTATTTTGGAGGGGGAGGAAGTCAGCCATCAGCTGGTGCTACCAATTACCATCATCATCCTCATCAGTATCCTCATCAGTATCATCAACAAGGCGGCTCGGCGTCGCGAACGACCACCACGACGACCACCACGACGACCACCACGAATTCCCACTCGCCGCCCAATCCCGCTCTAGTGGAGTTGGTGGCAACGTCGAAGCTCCCTTCCGACGACGAAGCCGCAGTCGAAGAGCGCAAACAGAAACGGATGTTGTCGAACAGAGAGTCCGCGAGGCGGTCACGCCTGCGGAAGCAACAGCATCTCGACGAATTGAAGCAGGAGGCGACATCACTCAGAGCGGCCAACACCGAGATGATGGGAAGATTCAATATGGCGGCCAAGCAGTACGCATATCTCACCGAGGAAAATCGATTGCTCAGAACGCATGCGACGGAACTGAGCCGTACGCTCCACAGATTGCATCAGTCAACATCGGGATCGACGGTAACTGGCCTCCATCATCCTCATTCTATCGGTCTCACTCGTTGACCTGTTGGTAGTTTTAGTTTTAGTCCCCAGCTCTCTCGTGTGGGGGCTGACCTTTTCGCTGAAAGTGCGCGCTCTGTCTAGGGCTTGGCGGGTATAGACAGGCCTTAGAAACTTTTGCTTGTAAAGCTCGTTTTCCTTCCGTCCTAACTTAACTTTCCTCTTCTTCCTTTATTCGTTCCTTTGCTCCCTTCTTCTGTTTCTACTTGCCCTCCGCGTTCTCGCTTTCCCTGTCTCTCCCGCTCTTACTCTTTCTCCTTACTTTTCCAGCCTGACTGTCTTCGTCCTTACTTTCCTCCAGCCTGACTGTCTTCGTGACTGCGCGCCGATTCTTGTCCTCCCGTCCTCCCCTCCCCTCCCCCTTGGCTGAGTCATTCCTTCTCTGAACTAGGGGAAGGGAGGGGGCTGGCTGTGTGGGAACGGAATGGAAGGGGAAGGTGGAGGAGAGCAAGGGGTCAATTACAACAGCGAGTCGGCGGAAACAGGGGGGGGGGGGG